TTAATGTATTGTTATTTACTAAAATTATCATTTCGAATAAAAATTCATATACCTATACCGACGAACCGATTAAGCGTTTCATTTTTTTACGAGAAAAAATTATCGCATATATTTTTTAATCTCCATAAATCTAGAGTTCTTTACTCTTTAAGTATTAATTCACTCTGTATAATTTTGTCCTGAAGACGGGTATATATTATGAGTGTGCTAAATTCAATACGTTGTTGCAATATCCAATGACTCATATTATATATGCAATCTATACCTGTCGTTAAAATGTTATAACGAATCAATGAACATTGGACCATTATGCGATTGCTTAATTACATGACAAATGGCACTAGTGTATTTTTAGCACAATGTTAACGCACTTTCTTATTCTCGAAATTAATAAACCGAGTAATTGGAGTCTAACTAAATAATTGGCATATCAAAATTAATTAACTTATTATTATTGGCGAATGAAAATAATTTCTCTGTATTTGAAAATTGCGCGCTTCAAGTACAGATAATATTTCATTTTACTTTCTTCGTTTTTTGGTATAAATTTTTTTTCGCGGCATTATCTATCTTATCAGATTTACAAATTACGCTGTTAGAACTAATTATTTCTCTTAAGAATGAAATATTTCAAATGTGCTCTTTTTCGACTAATAATTTGCTTTTATAATATGCTTGTTCGAAACTTAAAGTTGTTAAAAATATTGATTTTTAAAAATGTTTTATGAGAAATTTAATATACAAAATTCGAGAAATTGTACATAATTATGCATCGTGGCGACGATATTATGCATTTTCAAAATGCTATGCGAATGAAATTTTGAAGTCTTCTTATGTTGCAATTTGACATTTAAATCAATAGCTTTATGATATTGTTTTATAATATAAATTATTTAATAATATTTAATAATAATAATACACTGAAACAAAAGATTGGCTGCTGCAGCAAATTAGATGGGAAAATATGGCATAGTATTCTTAATTGGCTGCAGCTGTCAATTTTTGGTTGCGTTAGCCTATCCGCAATGTCAGTATAGGATTTCGATAGGCTAGCACAACCAAAAATTGATTGTCGCAATTAAAAATACTATGCCATATTCAGCCAATCTTTTCTTTCAGTGTATAAGTCATTATTGCTTCTAATTAGGTAAAATCATAATTCGCAAGTACAGCGAATTGTTGAGTTAGTACGGATTATGCTAATTTGACTCGTTCGTAAGAATCAGTTTACGGCAACAAAGTCGGCGCGATTACGTTATAAATCATTACATCTATCATTGAAGATCGTTTAATGGTTTTGATATTTTTGATGACTGTCGACTTCAGAAACGTAATGCAGATTGAACGACAATTCGCCATTTAATGGTGATGATATAATCACTAGTGCTTCGTGCGAACGACCTTGGAGAACGAACGATCGGTTCTCCCTGTTATGTCTTGGAATCCTGATGCACTCAATTGGTAGCGTCTTTCCTTTTTTTTTTCTTTATACGCGATCCTCTGCGATACTCGCGATTTCTCTCTTGGCCTTAATAGCACACTCGCTTGATTCTTTCTCCTACCTTTTCTCCGGCGCGACGGTATCGCATTTGAAGGTCTTGCATGGTGGCGATTCGCGTTCTCGGAAAATATAAGGATCATAATGGCAATGCAATATGCAAGATTGCATCTGATGTCTTAATTTAGCGATTGATCATTGTGCACATTATCCCATTTCTACAGAAATTTCTGAAAGAAAAAATTGACTGAATATGACATAGCATTTTTAATTGGCTGCAACAGCCAATTTTTGGTTGCGTTATTTCTAATCATATATTGACATTGCGCAACCAACAATTGGCTACTGCAGCCAATTAAAAATGCTACGCCATACTTTACTATCTAAATTGTTGCAGTGGTCAACCTTTTCTTTCACACAAGTGTGTTTTAATGATCAAATTTACCAGCCAATTTTAAACAAATTTCTTCTTCACTGAAAATGTCGCAAAAGATCATCGTTTTATGAATCTTTTCAAGTTGTTAATTTTACAGATTGAATATAAAGTAGCATATTTGCGTATAAATTTTTACTTCACCTTTGCTCGCAACCTCTATCTTATATGAGAATAGTAAACTTGCGTTATCAAACATAATTGCATTTTGCGAAATTCAAGAGAATAAGATTTCACAAGATTCCTTTATAATAATTTAACACAGCAAATAAAAATATACATTTCTAATTTTCTAAGTATTCTTTTATAAATAGACTGTCGCAAAATGATATTTTATCGAAAAATTGATGTGTATTGAGATATATTATATTATGTTTTATATTATATCTGAATTTGGTATATTGATTATATACATATATTGTAAATTACACTAAATTGTACATTCAGTGAAATTTCTAATGACTTTGTTTAGATTTAATAGAGTAGATATGTTGTATTATTGAATTGCGTATATTATCAAAAATAATAACAATTCATCATTCAGTGAAATCTTTCTGATGATTTTGTTTTTTGTGTCTAATACACTGAAAAAAATTTTTAATTGGCTGCTGCAGCAAATTAGATGTAAAATATGACATAGCATTTTTAATTGACTGCAGTAGCCAATTTTTGGTTGCGTTAGCCTATCCGCAATGTCAGTATAGGATTTTGATAGGCTAAC